TTTATAAGGAAAACACACTGTGTGTTTCTTTCATACTGCTATAATTATTGTCTTGATTTTTTGCTTGTTTATTTGTTGTGGCAATACTCCAAGTTGCCACAATCCCAAATATATTCTCTCTTATCCCTTACTATTAGAATTCTGACTTTATTCAGGATAGTAACCAGCTAACAAACAACAACAACAAAAACAAACAAACAACCCCCCCCCAAAAAAAAAGAGGGGTTTCTAGATGGCTCAGTTGGTTGAGTGTCCAACTCTTGATTTTGGCTCAGGTTATAATCTCAAGGTTCATGAGTTGGAACCCTGCACTGACAATGCAGAGCCTGCTTGGGGTTTTCTCTCCCTCTCTCTCTCTCTCCTCTCCTTCACACATCCATTCTCTATCTCTCAAAATAAATAAATAAACTTTAAAAACAAAAAGACCGTTAATTTTCTATACTCCCTTTCCATGTAATAAACTTCTAATGAGATATAGGCAGAATTCTTGGGTGGATATCCACTTTTGAACAAATGGAAAATTTCCGTGTGGAGTAGATACAAAACCTGGTGATGTAACATCCATATTGCAGCCCCAACAGTATAAATAAAATGATGTAGACCACATACTAAATGTAATGGGAAAAAGATAGAAAGAGCTTGAGTCCTTGAAAGTACCATTGTGCTTAACTACCTTGAACTCTGTATCTTTTAAATTTATTTTGTGAGGAAATAATGTATTCCTAACAAAGTACATTGGTTTCCTCCTTCTTTCCCATTAAGTACTAAGCTCTACGAAGTCAGGGACACTGTGAAACTTGTTTATCCTTGTAGTTCTAGATCACATTTTCTTGACCTCAGTACTATTGACATTGGGATTGGTTAATTTTTCAACGTGTTGGCAATGTATGATGTTTTGCAGCACCCTTGGGTTGACCCAATAGATACCAGTAGCAATCCCAGCCCCAAAGAACTCCTGGGGGTAAATAGCCTTCCAATTGAGAACCACTACTGTAGATCATGGGTTTAGTGCTCAGGATACGGTGGTCAATGCATATTGACTGTATTAACAAAATTAGTAATTAATTGGATATGAAGATTGAGATAGATGGTAGAATTTAAGCGTGACTTCAAAGTTTCTCTCTTAGGCCTGTAATTGTATCATTGTATCACATGGAAGATGAATAAGCAACAGTGTGTCAATGTTTCCCTTAAACAGTTGCTCTAAAGTTAAATAAATACTCCAGATGTGATTCTTAACACTACAGATTTCTGTTTCTGTATTAATGAAGTACAATATATCAATATCTGCACACTACTTCCCCCCACTTTCATAGCATAGCATTTTGTCTCTATTTTGGTCTCATTGCCCTAAATATTGAATTTGAATATGTTTTCTATTGAATTTGAAATACACTAAAAGCTCCTGGTTATTTTGTAAAGAATACTGACAGTTCCTGTCTTCCTTCATCCTTTAATTTTGCACTTGTGCTTTAGAAGTACCGGATTTTGCACTTTTCCTTTTAAAATTGTATCTCTTTTATATCAGGTCCTGTTCTTGGTTTGTTAATATATTTATTTTTTGTTGTTGTTCTTTTTCTATTTCATATTAGCTCTCTCAGCCCAACATGATGTTCCATCGGTTGGTTGGTTAATAAAAATTTTGACTAAGCTAAGGACAAAATACATAACATAGCTGTGTACTCATGGGCTGAACTTAGCACAACTGTCTTATAACCTAATGTTGAAACAGATATTTTAAAAGTCCAAGTCTTTTCCCCTGCATCCAATTTTAAAGATTACACGTAGCTGTCAGTAGGCACTGTGTCTGAAATTTGCTTCTGGGGATGAAGACAGTATGTAACTTCAGAGGGGCACAAAAACAATAGCTTTACATTTTTGATTGTATAGGAATGTTCAATTGGGCATGCTTACTCTGTTGAGACTATAATGCTTAGCTCAGTTGGTGGCACTGGTATATAATGGGGGTCTATGCACCAAGACAGAATCTGTTTAAGTGGTGTGAAATATGCTTTCCAGTAAGTGCATAATAACTTCATTGACTACGTTTTATAAGGGAAATGAAGGACTGAGAACAGTAGAAAATATCCAAGATTGCAAATGACTATTATTTGAAGTGAATAATATGATATATTACAGGAAGAGTAATGGTCACCTGATTAAGACACACACACACACACACACACACACACACACACACATATATATATACACACACACACACACATATATATATACATATACATATATACATATATACTAAACTAAAATATATATACATATACATAAATATGTATATAAAATATGCATATATTTATTGTATACATATATATGTATGTGTATATATATGTATACACACACACACACATATATATGTATACACACACACACACACACACACACACACACAAACTAAACAGAAGTCCTTGAGTACAAGAAAAATAAAGCAACATGTTTAGGGAGAAATAATGAAAGATACATTTATAATATAATGGGTTCTCTTATAATTAAGTTTTTTCCTCCTCTGTCCCATGAACTATTTGATATTAACTAGTCTCTTAGCTTCTATTTTAACCATTCCAAATTATTCTTAATAGACATTATTTACAAACATCATCATTATTATCTTTGTAAAACATACTTTATTGTGTTTCCTGCTCCCTCTTACCTGTAGAATGAACTCCAGATTTCTTAGGATTGCATATAGGACACTCTGATTTTATTCCTGATTTATCTTTCTACTCCTCTCCATGAAAAGGTGATGTAGCATCCATATTGCTCTATGCTCTAACCACACTGACCTACTTTATGTTTTTGAATGTTCCATGTCACTTAAACTTCTGCTACTTTGTCCCTGCTGTCATTTCTGTATGGAGTGCCCTTCTCTACTCTTGTGTTTGGTAAATCCATTAGCATTCTTTGAAGGCCAAGTCAAAAATGACCATCTCAGTTTTCTATTCCTTCCCTTCACTTCCCCAATTCCACAGTTTTGGAGTATGTCTGAAATCTAGGTGTGCTTAGTAAATGTTTACAAGGGGCAACTGGGTGGCTCAATTGGTTGAGCGTCCTACTCTTGATTTCAGCTCAGATCATGATCCCGGGGTCATAGGGCCAAACCCAGTATTAGGCTCCATGCTGAGCGTGCAGCCTGCTCAAGAATCTCTCTCTGTGTTTCTCTCTCCCTCTGCCCCACTTATACACTATCTCAAATAAAAATAAATAAATAAATATCAGTAAAGAAATAAACATTTATGCAATGAGTACTTAGTAAATCTCCAAAAATATGATGTGGCAGACTTAGTTTTATTAATGTTTAAATCAATCTTACATTATATAATAATATATCTGAAAAGCAATGAGTATATAATATTTTATTTATTTAAAAAAAAATTTTTAATGTTTATTTATTTTTGAGACAGAGAGAGACAGAGCATGAACGGGGGAGGGTCAGAGAGAGAGGGAGACACAGAATCTGAAGCAGGCTCCAGGCTCTGAGCTGTCAGCACAGAGCCCGATGCGGGGCTCGAACCCACAAACTGTGAGATCATGACCTGAGCCGAAGTCAGACGCCCAACTGACTGAGCCACCCAGGCGCCCCGAGTATATAATATTTTAATAAAATGTAGTCAAAAATCAATTCAGGAATGGTATTTGAAAGTTAAAAAGATACTATTATTATATGCATTCTCTTTTACTAACACATTTTGTCTGTTTTTCTTGTGTTCATAGCCTTAAGATTGCTTAATATGGGGAAACCCATAACCAATTGTGTACATAACTTTAATCTTGTTTTTTGAGTTGGGAATATCAGACTCCCCACTTTCTATAGTGTGTAATTACTATTGTTCATATTTCTTTTCACCGATTTTGCCAAAAATGTTTGTTCCCAGTGACCAACCTTTCAAGTTCTTCATTGAGAATATTATTTTAGTTACCCAAGATCAAAAACAGTAAAAATATTTTAGGTTAGAAGATAGGCAGAAGAAAAATTAATGACAGCCTCACACAACTGCGTCATGAAAGCCTCACACACCTGATGACATAATATTATTATTATTTTATTTTGAAAACATATGAAAGACCGATAAGTGATACGAGAAGGCTACTTGAAACACAATGAATTGAATGGTGTTTGTAGAGCACGGTATTGCGTATTCTCCACTTTATGCCTTGCTTTGGGTCACTAAGATATTGGAAGAGGAATGGGGACGTGAAATGTTTGAATGGGTTGTTGGCTTCCAGTCCATTGACAGGTAGAACATGGTGGCAAATAGAGAATCAACTGTTTTTTAAACAAAGTGAAGTCTTTACCTCTATAGAGTGTGACAAAGATCAGGATTTTTTTGCGACGTTGAACCTCAGACTAAACCTTAAACTAAACTAAACTTTGGTGCCCAAGGGGAATTTTAGTCTGAAAAACTTAATTGGGATCCCATTTGTAGCTCCACATAATGGATTTTAATTAATAAATGTGGCTTCCTATATATCCGTTGTTCGATGTCAGTGAACGGAAATGTGTTTGCATTTTCACATTGTAGAGATGCCTACTGATGTATTTTAATCAGAGATTTACTATTATGATTTTTCTTTATACATAAACAAAGCACAACAGCTTATTTACATTGTCATATAGTTGGTCTTTAAAACACGCCCAAATCTTCACATTCTCTGCTTAAATATCATAGAGTTGGTGCAAACTACCATTTTATTTTCCTTCACTCTTTTTTTAAATCTCTACCTTCAACACCAATTTCCAGAAATCCCACCAATTCTTAAGTATTTGGAGTCTTCTCCAGGGTAACTAGGCTGTTTCTCAGCGTTTCTTATCATGTGTTCAGGAGGCCACATTCTCAGATTCAGGGTTAGGGTTAGTATATGTGTCTGGTATTTTGCAGTTCAGAGACCTCTCCAGAGGGTTAGGGTTAGGGTTGGGAATTAGGGCTAGAGGACAGGGGTATATGCCTGCAACCTACAATTTTATTTTGTTTTGTTTTGTTTTATTTTTTTATTTTTTTAATGTTTCAAGTTTTTATTTAAATTCTAGTTTGTTAACATACAACCTACCATTTGAAATAGAGTTGGAAAAAAGAATGTATTAAAAAGACTGTGACTCTCTGTGCTCTAGCAAATAATATGTAGAGCTCTAATTCCAACATGGGCGTGCATAAGAAAGAAAGTAATGGAGGAAAAGAACATAAAGTAATTTCATCTGTTATGTTTCAACCAGGTGTTCTTGTGATGCTAATGTATCAGAGAATTGGTCGTTTGTCATTAGACCATAGACTGATTAGGATTGTGCATTTTTTCATATTCTTCAGCATAGTGTTGATATTGATCAGTGAGAAGAGGCTGATGTGCTTCATCCATGTTGCTTCTGGCACGAATCATACAAGAAGCACCGGCAAAAATGACCGCGACCAGGGATAAAGCAGCAACTACTCCTATAGTAACAAGTTCAGAAATACTAAAATTCCGACCTGTGAAAAACAAAAGGAGAACAAAAAATAAACAGTATAATAGTTGCCACCAAAAATCAGCTACCCTAAACTTAGGCATTGTGGCAGGCATTTTACCGAAATCTTCATATGTAATTTTTTAAGTTTATTTATTTATTTATTTTGAGAGAGAGAGAGAGAGAGAGAGAGAGAGAGAGAATCCCAAGCAGGCTCTGTGCACAGAGCCTGCAGGGCTCAATCTCTCGGTTCCTGAGATCATGACCTGAGCTGAAATCAAGAATTAGACGCTTAACCAACTAAGCCACCCAGGTGCCCCCATATAGAACTTTTTTATTGTCCACATTGCTGATGATAACACCTGTCATGTTGAAGGCACTTACCAAATTTCTCCTACTAAGTGGACCCTATTGGGATAGCTATTATTATTTCTGTTCTAAAGGTGAGAAAATGATGCCATAGAGTTTGAGCCACTTGTCCAAGGTCACTTGGCCAGTAGGTGCCAGAGTTGGTTTAGGGGCCCAAGTCTTTCAAAACCCACATGCTGTGCTCTTCACTATACCCTGTTGCCTTTGTTGGGAAGGGATTGAAAAGAAAATAAGAATGTTTGAATTTCAAAATCTCAGAAAAAGCAGCACAGAGTATCTCATTCCATTTTTTCTTTTTAGAATAAAGATACGAAGGCACCATTATGTAGTAGACAAATTGGGACGTATTACATGAACTTAAGCTCGTAACTCATTATCTCTGCCTACTAGAAATATGACCTGTGACAATGACCCTTTCTCAGCTAATCATAGCTAGCCTCATCTTCCTTATTTGTAAAATGAGGATTACAACACTTAGCTCAGAGGGTTGTATGGATTAAATGAGATAGTATGCTATAGAATCAGCTTAATTCCAGATCAGAGTGGGCTCTCAACAAATGTTACATTCAATCTCTTTATCCCAAAATAAAAATCCAAATAAAACCTTCTAAATCTGAGTGAAAAGTATAGGCCTCAGAATACTGTGATTACCTTGAAAGGTAGCAAATGTAGTTTTGGTAATTTCCACAGAAAAGATACATTTTCAATACTCACTTGGCCATTGAACTTCATAAGTATATCCCAGATTGTCTGGAGCAGTGACAAACATTTCTATGTTGGTAACTGGAGGCCAGAATGGCACCATATTGTATTGCCTATTATGTCCAATTGGGGCATTTTCCAATGGAAATGTGGATACATCTAAAATATGCCAAAGACATCTTGTTAATAACATAATAAAGTTAGTATTAATAGATTATTATGTCCTGAAGGTGACCTAAAATATTCTAGGATAACATAAAAATGTTTTTTTTTTTAATTTTTTACTGGATAAAGACATAAAAATAGTTTTACTGTATATAGCAGAACAGGGAAAATTGCATAAAACAGAGTTCAAATGTTTTGAACACAGCACTAACATAACATCCAATAGATCAAGAACGTTTAAAAGCAGGGAAGTTGTAGTATTTTATCATCTATGTTGATCATTAGTTGTTTTACTTTTAAATTACAGAAACTTATTTGAAAAAAATTCACTAAACTTCTCTTTCAAGGCTAGAAAAAGATGGACATATAGTTTGCTGAAGCTTCATCTATAAATTTGAGAGGTGCCATATCTAATGGAGGTTTGTCCTTGAATATGAATATTTCTGTTTAGTATTCTTCATTTTTTTCTGTTTACTTCCCGAGATATAAATATGAACTTATCCCCTATATTTTACTCTGTTAGAAAAAATACTTAAATTTTTAAATCAAGTTCCTGGGATATTATTTCCTTCCTGCCACTTCTCCTCTTTCAACTTAAATACAAGTTACAGGCATTTATATTATTAGCGAGTTTCTGTCATCAGGGATAAAAAGAGTGATAGGTTCTTTGTGGCAGAAGATTGTTTTTTTTTTTAATTTTTTAAAAATGTTTATTCATTTTTGACAGAGACAGAGCATAAGCAGGGAGGGTGAGAGAGAGAGAGGGAGACACATCATCCGAAGCAGGCTCCAGGCTCTGAGCTGTCAGCACAGAGCCGGATGCGGGGCTGGAACTCATGGACTGTGAGATCATGACCTGAGCCGAAGTCGGATGCTCAACCGACAACCCAAGATTGTTCTTTTCTATTATTGTTGTTCTACATTTATGTTGATACAACTAAATGAGGTGGGATATCACAAAACCAGAGTTGGAATCGGGCTTGGGCTGGACACAAGTGGACAACTATGTAGAAGAGCTAGAATATGTGAGAAAGTTAGCGGAGTATTACATTTTCTGTTTGCAAGAAATATATCACCTGGACAGTCCCTGTGATCCTGGGAAGCACAGAAAAGTATTTTAGCGTCTACTTTGTAAAACAACTGATCATAGCATGGCATGTAGTGTTCATATTTTTGCGACTTTAGATTTACTATGTATTCATGCTAATTTAATATTTATTGCTTCAAATCTGTTGAGCTCTTACTAACGTAAGACACTGGTCTCGGCATGGAGGCTACAGCACTGCACAGAACAGACAGAACGCCTGGCCCAAGGAATCCACGTTTTGGTGTATTCTCGTTAATTATTTATTAAAGTTAATAATGTAGATAAACTTTTTTTTTTTAACTTTCTATTTCACCTTTCCACTACAGCCTGACTCGAACAGCCTCAATCCCATTCAGCATCAGCGTGGTGATAAAGTTACATCGATTCAACTGAATGGAGGAATAATTGTGAAAATAGCAAACAAGAACAGTAGAATCGTCATGAAACTTCCCTATGCAAGACCCTTCCCAACTCAGTGTTATAGCCAACAGCCTTCAGGATCTTCCCCCTGTTACCTCTCTGACCTTGTTATTTCCCACCATTTTCTCCCCACTCTCTGCTCTGCTCTGGCCACAGTGGGTTCCTTTGTTCATCCCAGGATGATTTTCCTCCATGTATTTATGTAGTATTCACCATCCCCTTTCCTGATTTTCTTAGCTTGCAAACACTTTCTCCCATCTAACATACTTTATATTTATTTACTTATTTTTACTGCCATTTCAACTAACAACTAGGGGAGTTCCAGGAGGGAAAATATTTTTGTGTGTTTTGTACGCTACTGTATTTCTGGTACCTAAAATACTATGTAGGAAATGGTAGGCACTCAAATAGTATTATTTTCCAGCTTTACTGAGGTACAATTGACAAAAAATTGTATGTATTTAAGGTATATGACATGATGATTTACAAATGGCCACCTGGTCCGTGAAAAGGTATTCAATATCACTAATTAGGAAATGCCAATTAGAACCATCCTGAGAGATTACCTCACACCTGTAAGGATGGCTGTGGTCAAAAAGAAAAGAGATTACAAGCGTTGGGAAAAGCGTGGAGAGAAGAGAGCTGTTGTGCCCTGTTGGTGGGAATTGGTGCAGCCAGTATGGAAACAGTATGGATGTTCCTCAAAAAATTAAAAATAGAACTACCATATGATCCAGCAATCCCACTTCTGGGTATATCTCTAAAAGACATGAAATCAGTATCTCGAAGAGATATTTGCACCCATGTTCACTGCAGCATTATCCATAAGAGCAAAGATATGGAATCAGATACTGTTTGTGAAAGGCTTTGAGTGTGTGTGTAATTAGTTCATTTCTCTCAGGGCAGGATAAGTAGGGTCTGGTCTGCGAAACGTATACACTGCTTCTTCTGTAAAGCTCACTATATTTAGTGCTATATATAAAACTTCATTCACATGACTCGCATTTGGGAAAAATAGAAAATTGAATTAAATGTGCACATGGATACAAAATGTTAGTGAATAAAACTTAACATCATATTGAATAAAGTTTGCGTGCTCTATATTATACCACCTCATGTCTAATGAGACATCTCATTATATGCGATGACTCTCTTTCCTTCAGCTGTAAAATGCAATTCTTATTCCATTCAGACCCTAATAATTTTATAATCCTATGATTTTTGAAGATACTGCCTTATTATAAAACCTTTCAATACATTTTGAAAACTAATTCCATCCTCCACTCATAGACTTATTTGCAACAAAGACTTCTGCTGTATGCATCATTTTAGACATTTTTCTAATCTTTTTATTTTCTTCCTATGTAGTCGTTCTATGACATTGTTTTTCCAAGGGACATTTGCAGGGACATGGAATATTTAAGCAGAAGGTTAATCGTTAGTGTTCAGTGTTCCTGCAATTTGTAAGTGTTTACATTAACTTGTCTTATAATTTTATGGCCACATTTTGTCAAAAATATGCTTTAGGCTCCCTACTTTTTGCTCATGGTACTTTTCCCTCTACTACTATCCAAGTAACTGAGAGCTATTATGCAATTTATATAGTACAAGCAAAGGAAGTGGGGAGAAAATAACAAAGGTATTTATCTGATTCATCGATGACCTTTAACAACTTGTTATAGATGTCAAATAATGATCTTTTCAATGAGGATATGTAAGGCAAAGGAATACTTGTTTGCATAGTTGAAAGAAAGCTCCAGATTACCCAAGATTCTCCACCTCCTTTTACTTCTTAAGTCCTAAGTAAGAACAACTTACTAACAGCCATGGCCTTGTGAATGGCTGAATAACTACAGCTTGTGCATTGTTGCCTAGTTCTGAGAAGTGCGTGTTTAACAAGTTTTTGTTCATTCCTAAACCTATGACCTCCACTTGACTTGCTATTGTCATAAGAAGTAATATAGCTAAACATATGCAAAACAATAATTATGATTTCTAAAGGAGAGGGATGTTGTTTTATATTAAATGTATGAATGTCTAAGAAAGGTTTGCTAAAGGAGAATGCCTGAGATACTGGTAAAGAATTAGAAGTGAGCGACCGGATTGTAAACATAAGGTAGTCATTATGAAAATCTAGACGCATACTGGACTCAGATTGCATCTCAAGGGTTGTTAATTTCTTGTTTCTCGTTAAAGAAACAGACATTGTAAATTGTAGATAATTCATTATGACTGTAGGTATGCTTGTGAATACATATGAAATAAGGTGGCACTCCAATTAGTGAATTCATAGCAGATGGATGAGTGAATAGTTATATGTGAGTTATTTGTTTCTTGAATGATTTTCTGATGGAACATATGATTTTGACCAACATATCTGTGAATGGTCGTAATCAGGTTGGATTAGAGGCTTCTCCTGTACATACACACCAAGAAATAAGAGACTGGCTGAATTGGGTAGATAAGTCAATAGATACCCAATATTATGTTTATGTGCGGGATAAAGTAAAGGCACAGAAGCCAAAATTTACAAACTTTTGAAGTATGAACATGTATGATGCTTTAACAAATAGAAGTACTTCATTGTTTGCAAAGTGACTTGAGCCTCTCAGCCGAGTAGAAGTGAAGAGAAAGTGGCCTTCTAAATAATATTTTTAAAAACCCATTAAAATGAAGTTGAAAAAGATTTTCTATGCTGTGCTCTCTATAAAAACCAACATTAACTTTTCAAGTTGAAGAGAATTTCCATTTGTAAGAGGCCAGCAGTAATAAAAATCAAAACTGTGGATTATGAGCATAATTTTTTCTGTCTTTTAGGTATCGAAGAAGAGATCAGTGAATTTTTTTTTTATTCACGAGAATGTTCCAAAAAAAAAAAAAAAAAAAAAAAAAAGACAAAAAAAGGCATGCAAATATTCATTGGAAGCTACAAGGAAGAAAAATTTGGGAAACATGACAGTCATCTTTTCAAACTAAAAAATGAGAAGGGATTACGTGCTTACTCTGATAATAATATAATACTGTCTCGTAACTATTTTTTTAACTTTTTATCTGCATTTTCAAAGTCGTTTGGGACATGTGGAAACAGCTAGATATCACAGCTCTTTTCTCCTTATTTTGAAGTGTAGTTCACATGTGTTAAGTGCGTAGTCTATAGTGATAACCATACCACCTGAACGGTCTCCTTGCTGAGCCCGCAAAAAAGCATAGGAGAATGTCTCACCAGCATTATATCTCCTCAGCCATTCATCAAAGACCGCGTCAGTGAAAGTGTGCAGGAGGACAAAAATAGGATCGTTTGGAGATAAATGGGTTTGTCCCCCTGTTCCATTCAGGAATAGATGAGCCAAATTGTGAAGGCTTCGAATAGCAGGGTCATACTTTCCTGTGGGATCGCTGTAACCTAGATATAAAAAGAGGGGTGAGAAGAATGAAAACCATTGCCAATATCTTGCTTTTCAAATCAACAGCAGCGATTATATCGGGAAACAGTTTCTCCGCAGTTTGTCAGGCCAATTTTTGCCCTGATATAATAGCATTGCTTCTCCGTACCTATGGTTGGTGACATTTCTTGCTATACCCAGAGCTAGGTTAGCTTTAAGCCAGTGGCACGACATTCTAAATGTAGCCTCAAGGTTAAAAATAATGACCTGCAAAGATGCCAGCCAAAGTATATAGAGCACTCTATTTTGACAAGGCAAACATTGGTTCAGTGGAAATAAAGACAGTGGAAATCTCCTTCTCCTAAAAACTAACACAGTTGGGAGGACATCACTCTGATTGTCCTGGACCTTAAATTGCCAGATATTACTTCAGTTTCCTACCTCATTCCTTTTCACTGTCACCATGTTTATTTCGGGAAAGTTATCTTATGTTTGTGGAAAAGTCACAATTTCCCAGAGCATGCTTATCATGTCTGTACTAGTTTTAAACATCTGGAAAGCCTATTGTCAAAACATTTATATAATATTTAATAATTTCCTATGTATCCTCTATTTCCCATATTCTATATGATGTATATGATATCTCTATATAATATGTATATTTCCTACATTTCATGTATTATGTATTTCTTATACTGTATGTCTCCCATATTATATATTGTATATATTTTCCATATATATTTCCAAATGATATTTACTAGGTATATATATTAGGCAGAAGGTAAGGATAGATCACAAAAACGGAGGGTCTGTGATGCAGGATGGAGTTATAAGTGTACCTGGTTGGCTTTAAGAATCAGAGGTGGAAGAACAGGGAAATATTACATATTATTAAATAAAATTAGAATTTAAAACACATTAACCCAAGGTGCCTGGTTCAATCAGCTGAGTGTCTGACTCTTGATCTCAGCTCAGGTCTTGATCTCAGGATCGTGAGTTTAAGCCCTGCATTGAGCTCCACACTGGGTGTGGAGCTGTGTTTTTTTTTTGTTTGTTTTTTTTGTTTTTTTTGTTTTTTAAAGATGATAAAATATATTAACCCATTTGTACAATTACACTCATTTATTTAGTCATTTTGTATACATTTATTCCATTATTATTTTTTTTTATTTACGAAATGCTTAAAGACTGCAACGTACACGGCATGTTGGTTGGCACTGGTCCTTTCAGACCTTCTGTCAGGAAATCAGTATAATTTGTCCTTTGATTGGTCATCATTAAGATGCAACCTACATATTCTTGTAGAAATTAGTGCTTATGGCCAATAGCCAGGTTATGGAAAGAGCCCAAACGTCCATTGACTGATGAATGTATAAAGAAGATGTGGTATATATATATGTGTATGTGTGCACACATATACACACACACATACACACACACACACTGGAATATTACACAGTGATCAAACTCTTGCCATTTGCAACAACACGGATGGAACTAGAGTGTATTATGCTGAGCGAAATAAATCAGTCAGAGAAAGACAAATATCATATGACTTCACTCATATGTGGAATTTAATAAGAAACACAACAGAAGAACATAGGGGAAGGGAAGGAAAAATAAGATAAAAACAGAGAGGGAGGCAAATCATAAGAGACTCTTAAATTCAGAGAACAAACTGAGGGTTGCTGGAGGGGAGGTGGGGGGGGGGGCTGTGCCAAATTGGTGATAGGCATTAAGTAGGGCACTTGTTGGGGTGAGCACTGGGTATTATATGGAAGTGATGAATCACTGTGTCCTACTGAAGCCAAAACTGCATTATGTGTTAACTAACTTGAAATTTAAAAAGTAAATTAAAAAAAAGGATATAATGGTTATGGCCTTAGTTTATATACACCAGTTTAGTCAAAACATAGTGATTATTTATTGAATAATCTCCAAATCAGTGCATTCATATTTAGTTATTAATATTAACATAAAGACAGAATAGAATGGCATCCAGTTTTTATGATAATAGGGGAGAGAAAGGAAAATAATGATTAGATTTCTATGTCAAGTATCTCAGATCATGGAGACAGAGAGATCTGTTCCTATTTTTTTTTTCCTCAGGGGGAGGAGCCTAACATGTTTAATGCTATATTTAATGTACATTGTGACAATAAGAAGTTTATAATACATTAAATGTGATTCTGTTGTTTCAAAACTTTAAATATGTATTGGTGATGATTTAGAGATATTAAAATGTATTGTATAAAGACAATGGACTTAAAAAATTTTGATTTGAATTTGTGTTCTGTTACAAACTATCTTGAGAAATTCATTTCACTTCTTTGGTCTTTAGTTTCCTCACCTTTAAAATACTTTGAATGAAATAAGGAGAATCACATTAAATATCATTAGGTAGTAGTTTGAATTTTTATAGTCCTTAAAAACATTCATAGGATAATACAAACCTAAATGAAATATATGGCCCAGCCAGGCATTATTGGATGTCAACTAATTGTTTAGAAACTTTATTGTTATTTTTTAAGAAAAAAAATTAGGCTCTCAAAGTCTTGAAAATTATTTGCCTCTACCAGAATTTGATAGAGTTATAATGATTAGCCACCTCACAGATTTGAGTTAATACTTTTCAGGTATTTTAGAGATTGAAGACTAATTTCCCAAGGATTCTACTATGATAATTTAAAAGAGTTGCATGGCCTGACACTTTTCTTTAAGAAGTTCTTTTTTGAGCAGGGAATTGTGACTACATCATCATAGGAGGCAACATTCATATAAATTCATAAGATCAATATGGCTTCCAAAGATGTTTCAAGGAGATCTGAATGTGAATAGTTCAGTTTACTGTGACAACTAGATAAAATCAAAGCACTGACTTCTTTGACTTACCTTCTACTGTATTTCGGAAACTGTTTGTAGAATTGGAATAAAAAGGAGGGGTGTCAAATAAACCAACTTCCAAACACTGGGCGACATCCTGTGGTTCAGGAAGACGTTGTACCATTGGCCTCGCCACATTTCCAGCTGGATTTCTCCTAATTGGCCCCCCCTCAGTGCCTGGAAAAAAATACAGGGTATAGGAACACTTACAGAATATTTACAGATCTCTTTGCTCTTCCATTTTTATGTAGAGCATGATCACTGAAAGATAGGTTCTCCCCGGTAGAAGAGAACATTTTGAAAAGGCAGACTTAGGGGCATTACAGTGAGAAGATTTAAGTTATCACATTCATATCATTGTGATATGTCTGTGAACAGAGTTAGATGTGTGATACATAAAATCATTGGAAGAAAAAAATGATCACAATAACAGATAGAGGTCCTGTTATTTGTTTAATCAACGTATACCTCATTACTGAAAATATATTAACATCAAAAGTCCATGGGAAATTGAATTTTGCCAAAATAGTCTCATAAACCTAAATCCCACACTAAATCTATATTTCACACGTGTGAAATTTCATATTCAATTACTGTTTGTTTCAAGCCTTCAGAGAAATAAAGAAAAACAATCTACAATTTCTTTGGGAACTGGTCTATATTTCAATCCATACATATTTTTTCAGCAATTAATGTGAGAAATAATTAAACTTGTTAAAAGGCACTTGTTAAAAGGCACTAAGACAAACAGGCAAGCAAAGAGCTGTGATACTAGGGATAATAGAATGGGTGCCTTGAGGGAGGGAGGGAGAGAAGGAAGAAGGAAGGGAGGGAAGGAGAGAAAGAGGAAGAGGGAGAGTGGAAAGGAGAAGGGGAGAGACAGAAAGACAGAGATTGAGAAAGAATATCAATCCTTTCCAGGTGTGTGGTTTCAGAAAGATGTCATTGAAGAAAAGAGATTTGCAGGAGCGCCTTGGTGGCTCAATTGGTTAAGCAACTGACTTCGGTTTAGGTCATCATCTCATGGTTCATGGGTTCAAGTTCTGCATTGGGCTCTGTGCTGACAGCTCAGAGCCTGGAACCTGCTTCTGATTCTGTGTCTCCCTCTCTCTTTGTGCCCCGCCCCCCACCACTTGTGCTCTGTCTCTCAAAAACAAATAAATGTGAGAGAGAGAGAGGAGAGAGAGAGAGAGATATTGCAAAGAACCCTGATTCTCTGAGAAGAATTTTCAGGGTAAATAGGGGAAATGTTACAAGTCAAACATTTTCGACAGAGGTAATAAGAACGATGATATGCCTTATCCTATGAGATAAGCTCCCTCAGAACAAGAACTTTTCCTATTCTCGCTCACCAGTATATCCCTTAATCTTGGTACAGGGCCTGGCAAATAGTAGATGCTAAATAGTTGTCTGGTGTATGTTGATATATGGAAAGATCGTTTGGGCTGTAAAGAGGGCTGGTTGGGGAATAGCTTGCCTGGAGTACAGGACAATGCAAGAGGATGAGGGACGGTGGGAACAATGTAAAGCTAGACCAGATTCATATTGTGGAGAAATTATGTTTAATTCAATAGGAAATGAAGAGAAGTCTTAGGTAGGTGGGAAAAGAGGAGATCGGTTAGGAATATTTTGGATTTTCTGTTCCAATGATCTCGAGAGAAGCATGTGTGTGTCCTAAGAGGATATGCAGAATAATCCACTGGGGTGGGAGAGGTGATATTACAATCTCAATTTGTATTCATTTTACCTCATTCATAAAGCTTACTATGTTGTAATGTTTATAATTAACGTAACGATTAGTACCTGATGAATTAGCATAGCAACTTTATATAATATAAAAATAAAACATATGCCACTCTTGAGGTTGGGAAGGAGATAGCACACTGTTTTAGGTATGCATTATTATTAAAACTTTCAGACTCCACCGGCTAAAACTATCAATCCAAGCTTGTGTTTTAAGGATTATTGTTCAGGAGCTATCAATACATTCCAAGAAAAACACGATAGATTACATGGGTTTTGAAAACATCACACCCTAATCTGCCCTCATGGAGTTTCACAGTGGAAAATTCTGATAGTAAAGAAACTAGTTTAAACGAGTTAAATTTAACCTGGGTCTTTTTAGATTTGTTTGCACATGGACAGCCTCTGCCAGTGCACCTGATTTAACCTCATATGGATTGGAGTCCTGTGGAGTTTCCATGCAGGAATGAATGAAAAGTTCTGAGTGTATGAAGGAGAAAATAGATTTAAGAAATACTGTGTAGAAGGAACAACATTCTTCATATGATGAATCCAAGATGATATTTTAGTGGCTAGAAGAGTCGTAGGTGTCAATAACTCATTCTTGCAATGTACCAAGTTTGGCGCTTTAATGGGACGCTGGAGAGGCATTGTGCAACAAACACATGAAAATACAGGATTGGGATATGTAAGGAAGGTTTGTTCTAAAAATGTACGCGCATGGCTGTCCAGTAAAAGATGATCAATGAAACCACAGGAATGGATAATTTCATCCAAGAACGGAATTAGGAGAATTAAATAAGATATATGAAAGCATTTGGTACCATATCAGGCACGTAGTACGTGTTCAATAAACTGTTAGTTTCCTTTCATCTTTCACTGGCCTAATAAAGAAAATTCTTGGTGTTTATATCACAAACTAAGAAAAGAAGTATTCCTCAAATGTGTTTCCCTAAAATACACAATCTTCAATTTTTCATGAAACTACGTGTCTTGGTTATGAGACCTCTTGACAAGAACAAGTGATGAAAATAGAATCTTCTCTCCTCTGCCATAATTTTATTTACCCACTTAAACTGTGCTATATTTTGGCATCCAGTCACCAGTATCGTTAGAAAAGGTCTGGAAAAAAATTCCTAGGACAAAATACAATAGCCTGCTCAGAAAGGGATTAATGCTTTCGTATCTAAAGATATATTGATTCTCAACGTCATTTCAAGGTGGGATCACTCACTCAGCTTGCTAAACAAATACAAAATTTATTCTAATTTTTAAACTTCAACCGAAAAAAAAAAATCCATACACTATCACTTCTCTTTTTCCTATATGCAGCTAAAAATTCTTGTAATGCTGAAAAAAATCTACTGAATTGTTCTATTTAGAATATTCTTTTTGAAGGATATTCTTTTTTTTTAAGGTTGATATAGGAATTTCATATTTTCAGCTGAAAAGTATATATGGAAATAAATATATTTTGAAGACGTTAACAAAATAAATTCCCATGAATCCAGTTTTTACATTGAAGAACAAGTTTAAAATAACCAAACATGCCTGAAGAAGGAAAGTGGATGGGGTAGGTGACTAATAATTAAGACCTTGTGTTGGTGCCACAGAGAGAGGTAATAATGTGATCCAAGGAAGAGAACAACACACTCAGGAACAGACCCACATATCACAGAACCTTGATCTAAGGCAGCAGTGGCCTATACATCACTGGAGAAAGGACGCCGGGACAGCTGGTTTAGCATTCCCTTTTTGTGTTCGCTTTGACAGAGGTGCAAAGCAGTTAGCTGGAAGACATCTTGCATAAGGTATCTTCCTTTTCTTAAAGATACCCTGCATATCACCTTTTGCTTTTGACCCTCTGACTAGAACTTTACTCTCAGGTCACTTCAAACTCTTTCGGCATATTTCAGGTTTCCTAGGGAAACAATTTGCTCTGAAATTTCAACTCAAGACACATGACTACTCAGGAGTGCTGTATGTGCTAAGAGGATTAATCTTATAAAACCATACGTTTCCAAAGTAAGAGAGTGAGCAAGGCACTGGCCAAATTTCTCAAGAAAAGCAGTGTAAAAATGTATAGACACTCTCTGTTCCCCCCGGGAACCTTATAGAGTGCCTTGAGTAGCGTAGGTGTTCAATGAACGTCTGTACATCGATTCTCTCTAATAAAATATTTTATTCTGAAGTCCTTAGTAGAATGAGGGCTTTCAGACAGCACATTTAATCTCTTTAGGTAATAGGGAATTCTGAATCCTAGATGGGTTTGGAACTTACTATTACAAAGTGTTCCCAGGGTATCATAATCCTCCAAGGACTCGCAGACCACTTGCCATTGAGAAAAGACAGAGTTCAGGCTTATAAGAGTGGGGTCAAAGTTGCTTCTCGATCCCATGAGGTCATCGGTGCAAATGTCACAGATGTTCTTCCCGGTTGCAAAATTCCAGTAAGGAAGGGAAAATGAAGGATCCTGCAACATTTCCTAGATCAAAGAAACTCTGTTAGCGTTCTCTGCTTTTGTTTAAAATTCTCCCCCTTTGCTTGGTTTTCTCCCTGGCTGTCTGTTTCTATCAACTCTCTTTTGGTAATTAGAACCAGTCAGTGTATCAGTGGTGTCTGAGTAGCCAGAGGAATTAAATATCTTACTTAACAAAGCTTATCACATACTATGAAGAGTTATTGAGGCACTAGAGAGAATGAAACTCAACTCATCATACAGAAGTTTCTACAAATGCTATTTTTGGGGAAAGAAGTCTCCCCCCCCCTTTTTTTTCAGGTAGGTAATTCAAGTTCTATTAGTGATACCAAAAAAATATATATATCAATAATAGCTTTCGCTCCTTGACATTTTACCTCCTGTTTCCATATCTCTAATTCAAGCATCATGGAGTCTTGGTCTGGAGCCAGATCCAGTCTTTAAATATATTATGTAGAGCAGTGCTTTTTGTTTTCTTTCTTTCTTTCTTTCTTTCTTTCTTTCTTTCTTTCTTTCTTTCTTTCTCTTTCTTTCTTTCTTTCCATTTAACATGAATGACTTCAGGCATTTAGATTCTGGTTTTTAAAATTTATTTGTGGGTTAGCAAGGGTAGTGGAAGAAGCCCATGTGAATTCCAGGTTTTCCAAATATGAGCTATATGGATTCGACTTTTCACAGGCTACACAGACAATCTCTTTCACATCACCGTATCTGCCTGGATACTGAAGGCGTTTTACTTAAAGACCCCCGCTTCAGAATCTAAACTGTTAAGACTTGGGTTTCTGCTTAAAAACTAATACCAACGGGAAATGTGAAATGAAGCAGAGTATTTCTTTGTGCACACAGTTCTTTAGACCAGAGACATAGTTTCCTTTCAGAGCTGATCTCAACAATTTTAAAAGTACTGGATTCAGGGGATGCCTAGGTGGCTCAGTGGTTTAAGTGTCCTACTCTTGATCTTGGCTCAGGCCGTGATTTCACGGTTCGTAAGATCAAGCCCCACTTCAGCTCTGCGCTGACAATGTGGAGATCTCTTTCTCTCTCAAAAAACAAAATAATACAAAACAAACAAACAAAAACCTTAAAAGAAAAAGTAATGGACTCAAGGTCACATGCTTATTTTATTGAGTTCCTTAAAACATATTTTTATTGTATTTGTTCTATTTCCTTTAGACCTTTGGGGAGTTATATTTAGGGAGTGAGATTTAAGTGTAGAGATTGCCATCATTGTGCCTCACCTCCTAAGCATTTCGTACATTTCTGCTTTTTCACTTTAAACCCTTTAGGAAGCATTTCCTGGTCCCCAGGGTATTTTAGAGAACCAAAAGCTTTCCAAAGCATCCTCCTTTATTGATCTCCAGGGGTTTAGAGTCCTTGTTTAGAAGCCATTGTTCTGGTTCACAAAAATTAGTGACAGCTTCCAAGGGATCATTAAGAGTCAGTTTGTAGTTCAGAATTGACATTTGGGAGTTGGAGAATATTCATGTGGCATTTCAACTGTGCATTACATTTAGACTGTAATTCCTTGGATCCCTTGTGCTGTTGGGTTTTAAAAATATAAGGCATAGAGGTTGAAGTTTACACAGGCAAAATCGAAGCTTTTAGATACTTTCCACCTGCCCTTTCATTTTGGTGTGCCCATGAGAAAATGACTTGGAGGCATGGAGATCTGGAGTTGATTACAAATGACAGATTTATCTACTCATAATCTACTAAATGTCTTACTTGTAATAAGAGCTATAAAATATGAAGTTCAGAGTATCAGATGAATTAACTTAATCACTCTCAAACTGAATATGGATGGACCACTTTTATACCAATGCTTTATTCTGTATTTTAGTGCATTAATTCTCTCTCGCCTCACCATTTATTTTCTTGTGATAGTGCTGGACACAAGCATACTGCAAATCAATAAATGAATCTAAACACCTTTTTTACCCTCAGATATTTTTAGATTAACTTTTATATTTTAATTTGAGGGAAGGAATCCATTTACCTAGAAAACACGTTCATTTTGTGGATTTCCTAGTTGAGATCTAGTAATTTAAAATTTCATTTTATTTTTTAATGTTTATTTATTTTGTGAGAGAGAGAGAGAGAGAGAGAGAGAGAAAGAGCAAGTATGTGTGTGGGGGGGAGGTGAGAGAGAGAGAATCTCAAGCAATCTCTGTGCTGACAGCACAGAGCCTGATGTGGGGCTTGAACTCATGAACGCTGAGATCATGACCTAAGCCAAAACCAAGAGGCAAACACTTAACCAACTGAGCCATCCAGGCGTCCCTCAAATTTCATTTTAAAATTACAATACTCTTCTCAAGAAAAGCAATTGGTAAAATAAATGATAAAAAAGTATCTATGTTAACATACTTTAATGTGGTTTGAGGTTCTCCGCTTAAAATATAAGCAGGAAATACTTATGTTTGGGCTGAGGTCTACTATATGCCCCAAAAGTTGATGCCTTTTAAGTAAAAATGAGACCTGAATGGTGTGATACTTTTAGTAGGTTTCTGAGGTAGGAGGCATGGAAACAAAACAGAGTTCAATCAACATATGACAGTATAAAGGATATTGTTTTTCATAATTTGTATTTTGTGCCATAAACTCAGAATCATTTGCTGGCATAGCAAGGTGTATATTTGGGACTTGGTAGACTGAGAACTGTATGCACACTTTTTTTTTTTTTTTTTTTTTTTTTTTTTTTATCCAAACCAGGAGGAGGGGGTATCGATTTACATTTGGGAAGGCCAGCCCATCAACTGAGATTCTTTTGTTGCAAGCTATATGAAGATCATTTTTTCAATTATGCTGCAGCATATGTCCATCACGTTACATCACACCTAGAGATGTCTCAACTGGCTCCCTCACCATTGATATTACTTTCTTTTCCCTTCACAAAAGATGAAGACTAATTAATGAGTAAGTAATTTACTAATAGGGAGAAATTTAGAATGTCAAAGACAGATTAATATCATGAAATCGCTTTGCCATCACATGTTTTGATCACTCAGAGCGTAGTGGATGAAAACGGCTTCCAAACAATCCACCTTGTCTGTCGGGGACCTGAAAAGTGCAACGTGTCACACATACCTGCATGTCTCTCTCCAATTGCAGAAGGTGGTACCTGTGCCATGTGAGAAAAGCCGGTCCCTCGTGAGAGAAATCCACTTCTCCAAAGCTTTCCTGTCCCGGCCCAAGGAAAGTCTTTTTGACCGAATAGTAGTGTGTCCAAACAAAGTAGTTGTAAATGGAAATGTTCTCAAATTGTGGCGTGTTGCCATCTGGCCCCAATATTTCTTCTGATCTCCTGGTGGCGATGACAAACTGAGGGTGCATTGTCCGCTTGGCCAGATGCAGGGCCTGGACAAAGTGGTTCTTTTCTTCTGCACTCAAGTCCAGAAGATTTCTCCTGACTTCAAGGATACAACATTCAAACGTGAAAATGTGCCACATGAGCATTGTCTTAACACTGCGTCCCATGTACCCATTAATGCAATTTGCATATATGCTTAAATAAGTTTATACTCCTTTAAAATTCCCCTCACCCAAATCTCTTCTTTAGGCCTGTTTTCTGCCTTCCCCCGCCCCCTGCCTGCCAACTTACTCTAGGGTTTTCATTAGTTTTCGTTATTATGACTGTGGACTTTATGATTCTGTGATCTCGTATTTATTTCTGCTCATCATTGGTATATTTTTCTGGAACTTTCTATCTTTTCAAAATCATAAGCCTCGTAAAAAACATGGCATAGTGGTTAATACCAGGGACTTACTCTGTGACTCTGTACACGTGTTTCTAAGTCTCACCTTCTCATCTGAAAGGGTGTATATAAAAATAACACCTGCTTCATAGAGTCGTAAAGGTTAAAGAATACACACATAAAAAGCAATTATATCAGAGCGTGGCTCATAAAATAGACTCAATAAACATTCTGTTAGACCCTTGGCCCAATGCTTGGCACATAGAAAACAACGATGTATCGCTGGATTTACTATTTAAAGCTTTATTATTTATTGCCATTTAGTAGAGTGAAGGCCAGGCTTGTCACCTGAAATGGCTGAACTTGATCATCACAAGGGGAAATTTCTTTGTGGGTTAGCAAGTGTAGTAGAAGTAGATCATGGTTTAGAGCTAGACCGACCTCACTGGCAAATTCGAGGTTTTTCAAGTACCAGCTGTAAGGATTTGACCTTTCTGAACCTCACTTACTACAATTAACATAACTACCTTGAGAAGTCACTGAAGGGTCTAGTCATGAACACCTACCATGGTTCCCTGCATGGAGCAGTTGCTCCATAAATGTTTTGGAAGGAGATCTTGTCAGTCAGAGGATCTGAGCCTTAACCTCAACTCTTTAAATACACTTATTAGCCTCTCTGAGCCTCAGTTTCCTCAACTGTGAAGAGGGAAGAATGAGTTGTATGATTTTCAGATGTGCTTCCAGCTCAACTGATTTAGGTTCCTATTAAATGCATAGAGTCTCATGAAGAACTGTATATACACACAGATCCCCACTTACCTATGAGAACTCTCTGGTCACAGGCAGCTCCTTTCCATCCAGGACGGCAAGTCCCACAGTTGTGTCCTGAGAAATTGCCATTGCATCGGCATGTCCTGTTGAAGAACCTCGTGGGCCAAGCCTCCCGATCATCTCTGCCATCATGCGGGTAATGGGGGCTGTGGGGTCGTGAGTCTGCAGTCACTGCCTCACACCTGCCCCGCCCTGACGAGGAGCCACAGCGGTCAGTCCCAGGCCCAGACAGTGGGGACAGGTCTGGGCAACACACACCATTTCTCAGAGCCTCAACAGTGGCACACTGTCTTGGGAATTGAGCCCAGGTCTGTTGAGAACACAGCAGGGGCAAGATGATGTATCCCAGAGAGAGGAATTTATGGGCTTTCATTCTGCTCGAAGCAAGAGTGAAGAACAGATCTCTGGTTTGCAGCCCTTTGTGTAGAGACTGAAACACATAAAAATCAGGCTGAAAAGGAGAAAGCAAAATGGCATTAGTGCAAGTTTTCTTTTTGTGCTGTTATAAACAGGCAGGAGCCCTCCCTAGCCACCCGCAAAATGCTTTTCATATCTGTGAAATGACATTTCTCGCAAATAGTAAAAATAGTAATTTACCTGGAAAAACTTGACATGGATAATAACTACATAATTAAATCCCCTGCCCTAGCATTTAGTTTTCTTTATTTTAAATTTCTATTTATGAAAAAAAAAAAAAATACTTATCATAGATGTCTCTTATCCAAAGCATTCGTTAGCAGGTCATGGCCATTAATTACATTTAGCCATGAAGCTGAAAGAATTGGAAGCAGATTTCCTGCTAGTTAATTTCCGTGACTTAAAATCTCCCATCCTAATGGAGTTTTGGCGGGCATCCACCTGCTCCCCATAGAGCTTCCCTCCAGTACCTTAAACTCCAGAGCGGGTTCTCTGATGAACCCCTCTCAGAGCTGAGTGTTTTATATTTGCTTGTCCCCTGATGTCAGAGCTGTTAATTGCATGTGAGTTTCTGCTTGATAACTAATCCCAAATCTGCTCACCCAAACTGGGAGGGGCTGGTCCTCTTCCCCACCCTTTACTAATCCCCTTTCACTTCAGTGCGTTTTTCTGCCCTTTAAGTACTTTGTTAGCACATGATTCCCTTCCCACTGATTTCCTTGTGATGCTTAAAGTTTTAAGAAAAGGTCAGAGGCACTAATTTGGAACACAAGTCGGAGAAACTAGAGAGCTTTTGTTTGCGTTGTAGAGATTTAGGTGCTTTTTTTTTTTTTTTTCCTTTGACTTATATCTTTAGAAGATGAATGAGATTACTTACATTTCCTTAGTGATACAAGGGCTAGACAAGTACTTGTATCTGATGGTAGCTTTGAGTTGTGTTTGGTCTTGAAAACAGATGTTGCCATTCTTACAATTTCTATAGGGGATAACTGAAGTAGAAAAGCCATCAGATACAACTTCCCCGAGTTACATGGCATTGGCCTTCATGGCGCCCGCTGGTGTTGAGAGTTGGGTACTCCAGTTCCTTTACCTCCACTGGGGTAGTGTCATCTACGTGGCCAAGCATCACAGGCTCACTACTACTTCTGTTGTTTAGAAGATGACCGCTGAATGGCTTCTTCTTTCCTTGTGCCAATGGCACACTAATTTTAAATTTTAAAATGTTGCCATAGTGTTAATTAATCATTAATCGATATCTCAAGGTTTCATATCCATTCAGGGCAAATTTAATTGTGGAAAATAATGCATATAAAATGATATTTAGATAGTCTTTTTGGTCATTCTGCTTTTTTTAGTCCGACCTCTTACTGGATCAAAGTAGATTATCATTTTTCTCTCTGGAATAAAGGTAGTATTAATGTAACATTGGTGGGTTTCTTCATTTTGACAAAGGTACTAAAGGCATGGATGTTAACATCTGTGTAACTTTTCTGTATATCTAAAATTATTACAAAATAAAATATGTATTTTAAAAAACTCTTTAAAACAGTTTTAAATTATTCATCCATATTCATATATCATAAGTTATTCATCCATATTCATATATATATTCATGTGTGCAGATATAAGTATACCACAGTGTGTTATATTACGTTGAAAGAAAAAAAAATGAGGCTTTGCCCATTACACCTCTTTGTTATATAATTTTTACAGTTACCTCAGGGTACCCTGAGTGCAGTGTGATACATAACTGACTGGTAGGCACAATGTGGGGGCATCTGTATCAAATCACCTAATAGTAATTAAATATAAGAATAAATGTAAAATGATGTTCTGATATTTTCTTTCTGGACCCCTTAGGAGACTGTGAGAATCCCACCCTGGAGATCACTGCTAAGGGTGATCTCATCCTACCACGTGGAATTCATCTATGGGCTAGAGAATCTCAAGTCAGTAGCTCTAATAACACTGTCTCCCCAGAGGTCCTGACTTCTATATCTAACTGCCTACTCGCTAAGTCCATTTAGACGCCTAGGAGATTCATCAGACATTTATAAAATGTGTTCCTCTGTCTTTCACATCTCAGTAAAAGGAATCACTGTTCAGCCCATTGCTTAGGAAAAAAACAACACGCCAAAGTCATTGTTTTTTCTTCTTTGTTTCACAGAGACTGCGCTCATCAATTGGACCGACAGGGTCTAATTGGAAGCCGTCCTTAGCTCACACCTGCCCTGTGGCCATGACCTCATTTATCTCTTCACCTTCCATGCTTCACCACACAGGAATGTATTCTCCACGGAAGATTTTATTCTCCACTTAGCAGTGTGAAAGAACTTTTACTACTGATACCCGATCACCACTGCTCTCAACAAAACCCTTCAATGTCTTCCAAATACACATAGAATAAAATCCAAATGCTTACTGGAGACTATATGATCAGGCCCCTCCTATCTCTTACAACGTGCTAGCATCCTCCTCATTACTCCTTTGTTCAATGGCCAACTGGCCATTGGCCTTGTCCCCAAGTCTTTGTGCAACTTTCTATTTCACTTCATTCAGGTTTCTATTCCAATGTTATTTCTTCAGAGTGGTCTTGCCTGATGATCCCACCTGTCAGCTCCTAACCTCATCATTTATTACTTCCTTTTTAAGATTTACTCTTTAAAGTACTAAACACTGACTATAATTTTTGTTCCATATTAATTTTTCACTTATTGTTTCTCTCACTCATCGTAAGGCAAGTTTTTGTCTTTCTTTTTCAATACTGACCTGAGAAATCATTAGAGAATCACATAGCCATTAAAATTTTTTTTTTTTTTTTCTGGGGTGCCTGGGTGGCTCAGTCAGTTAGGTGTCCGACTTCAGCTCAGGTCATGATCTCACTGTCCGTGAGTTCCAGCCCCCTGTTGAGCTCTGTGCTGACAGCTCAGAGCCTAGAGCTTGTTTCAGATTCTGCGTCTCCCTCTCTCTCTGCCCCTCCCCCACTCATGCTCTGTCTCTCTGTCTCTCTCTCTCTCTAAAATATATAAGCATTAAAAAAATTATTTTAGAGAGAGAGTGTACAAGTAGGGGATAGGGTGAGAGGGAGAGAGAGAGAATTGGAGTCAGATGTGGGGCTCGATCCCAGGACTCTGGGATCATGACCTGAGCCGAAATCAGGAGTCAGACACTCAGTCGACTAAGTCAGCCAGGCCAGGCATCCCTAGCCATTTTTTTTTTTGTTGTTTGTTTGTTTTCAGTGAAGTTGGGCTAGACATCTGACTTACTCCTAATCTAAAGATTCATCAGTATTCCCACTAAAAGAAAAAATACAACCTACCTCCAGTATTTTTATTAGTTACTATTAATGAACATCTATAATTTCCTAAATGTTATACATACACTATATACCCTTCTTCAAAAATATTATTAAAATATTACTTTTATGCCTGTGTTGCAGATGAAGACACAGAAGTTTATGGAGATCAAAAATTCTTTAAAATTCATGTAATTTTCAGTTTCAGGTTTTGAACTCAACTTAGTTTGTTTCCAAGACTAACTGTGCTTTGCAAGTACTGCTCCCATTCTAAAAAAAGAAAACCAGAGAATGGAAAAAGTGCTGTATTTTGAGTCATAAAATATACCAGCTTTGCCTTGGTAAACAAGGGCCTTCATTTCTCTGAGTCTCAGTCCCTCATCTGTAAGTCATATGTAATAAAGAAATATTGTTGGGGCGAAAAACTCAAATAAAAATAGCCAGCAGAATGCAGACTGTCAATCAATAGTAGTATGGGGCACCTGGGTGCCTCAGTCTGTTGAGCATCCGACTTCGGCTCAGGTCATGATCTCGTGGTCTGTGAGTTCGAGCCCTCGGTCGGGCTCTGTGGTGACAGCTCAGAGCCTGGAGCCTGTTTCCGATTCTGTGTCTCCCTCTCTCTGCCCCTCCCCCTGTTCATGCCCTGTTTCTCTCTGTCCCAAAAATAAATAAACGTTAAAAATTAAAAAAAAAAATAGTGTGATAAGTAAATGAATAAAAGAAATCTTAAAGTAGATGAAAAATACTGAAATTAAAACCATATTCATAACTAACTTCGTAGCCTAGAATGCATTGTATGCCGTGTCTTTATTATTACTAAATATCCAATCAGTTCTACGAGGAGTCCTGTGGAGCAAGAATTTTAAACACTGAAGAGAGGCGAAAAGCTGAAATGGCAGTGTCTACTATTTGTAAAAACCTGGAAGTAGATGACAAGTAGTATATTGTACCACATACGCTGACATCATTTCTTAGCTTTCTCATGTGTTCTAATGTGGGAGGCTGGTGCAAAGTGTAAAAAGAAAAATGTACTTACGCCTTTCCTCTTTCACTGAACACTGTGGACTGGTTAGCATGCCATAATCCGGCAAAGTTATTCACAGCATAGTTCAGAAATGAATTTTAAAACACATATGCAACAGACACACGTTGGCAGCATAAGAAGACTTGTCAGGAATCACCGTTGGTGTGTGAGATACATTCAAACCGGATGTGAAAATCACCTCTTGGGGAAAAGGAACCGATCCCTACTTCCTATTTTTTCCTTTCAAGACTTATCAACATCATTTATAAAAGAAGTTACCAGAAATCTAAATGATAAGGACCAGGAATTAAGGTCAAATTGAGGAGAAGAAAAAAAGTTTCAGGAGCATCTTAATTTTGTCAGAAGACTTATTAATGAATATTAATGTCTTTAGTGATCATTTGTGGCAAATGACACTGAACGTATTCATTGTCCAATTGGTTCACATGTTATTAAATTATGTGCTTACTTGTACTAAGCTTAGATTAATGGCTAGAATTCCAAAGGCATTAAGGCAACTCAAAGTCGTCTGTTGAACCAGTCATGTGCTTTTACCTCATGGAGAAGCTTAAATTCAGTGAAAGCAATGGGGAAGAATGTTAGGCCTGTGTTTTTGTGTCACTAAGCAGAGTTTCAGTGAAACGTAACGTTTCTGTTTTAGGGCAGAA